GGTTGAATTTCAAATGTGGTGAGCACCTGTGGTGTTCTCCTGCCAACCTCACACAGGCAAAGAGGGAGGGGAGTGGTCATAGCCTCCTATCCACTAGAAGTTAGCTTATTTCTACAATTAAGTATTGAACTATGTGTCTGTAACTGTAGCTACTCAGGAGACTGAAATATGAGGATAGTTGTTTGAAGCCAGCCAGGGCAAGAAACCCTATGAGCCTCATAACTCCACTAAACTACCAAAAAAAAGCCAAAAGTAGAGCTGTGGTTCAAGTGTTAGAGTGCTAGCCTTGAGCAAAGGAAGCTCAAGGACAGCTCTTGGGCCCTGAGTTCAAGCCTGAGGATTGGAACAAAAACAAAAAATGAATGAGTGTTGTGTGTGTGTGTGGGGAGGCTTATCATAAGTTTCTTAACTGGCATCCTGTTATGAGACACTCTTCTGGAGTTAGCTGAGTAATAGATAATCATTTTGATTCTCTCCCTGTCACATACCTCAGAATGATCAACCCATCATTTTGGGCCCTCCATGTGCTGGTCAGCAGATACACATGTGGTTGATTGAAGTGATAAAGTATAGCAGTAGTTGGAAGGGGTTGAAGACATTCTCTTGGGGGTAGGGCAAGTTATCTCAAATAAAAATGAACCTTTAAAGACATTCTGTGTGGTCTAACATTTGGCAGGGTTTGCTCTATCCATTTGACAACTTGCTTGAGAAAGGGGTAACTTAGGTTCCTCATAAAGATTTATTTATGGTTGAGTGCAAACAATTTCTCCTCAATGGGTTCTGGATACCACTCTTGTGTCATACCTCACTTTCAGCTTCTCCCTTAATTGGAACTGGGGTCTATAAGACTGTTAGTTTTCTCTTGCTATGCAACAAATGAGATAGAATTTAGTCATTTATAACCACACACTTTGTTATTTTAAGGCTTCAATGAGTCAATAATCCAGGCATAGTTGAACTAGGTCCTCTGCTCAGGTCCTAGCAAACTGCAATCAATATTATGTGCCAGGGCTGAGGTCTTATCCAAGGTCACAGGTCATTTTTTAGACTATTTACTGATGGAATTAAATTTTCTGTGGTTACAGGGTTCATGTTTCTTGATGGTTGTTACCCGTAAATTGCTCTCAGTTCCTGGGTACTGTTATTTCCAGCCACGTGGCCCTTTACAACATGCAGTTTTGGGTTTTTTTTCAAGGCATCTGCTGCAACTTCAGATCTGTGTGAATTCTCTAGGTGACTTCCAGACCACCTTTCAAATGGCTCACCTGGTTCAGTTGGACCCACTCATACTAGGGAGAGGAGATTTACAAGGCAGTGTACTGGGTGTAAGGAAACACCCCCCCCCAGACCTAATCTCCGCCCTCATTGGCAGCGCGTGTGCAGTAGGTGAAGCACCTCCCAACTCTGGCCCCCGACTATATAAAAGCGTCCTGTGAGGAGCTGGTTGGCGCCATTTTTATCCTCTCCTCGTGAGTGCTTGAATTTGTTAGCTCTGCTAACTAGAAATCTTGTCTCTCCTCTGATTTTTTTCGTCGGCGTGGTCTTTTGGGCACCTTTTTTACTTTCACTGGGAGTGAAAATCATGAACACCATCTTAAATTTCTATTACAGACATCATGAAAATCACCTTATCCTATTAGGTTATTAAGCTGGAGGTCAACTGTTGTCCATTAGCAATCCCCCCCATTGCATGAAGCCATCAAAAGTATCTTTGGAATCCTTGAACCTAAATCATGTTTCAGTGAAACAACTTCAAAATCCTTGGAAAACAGGGTTTTCCCCTTGCTTCCCCCACCCACCTTTTCCTCCTAGTGCCTTTGTTTAGTCTTCAAATGAGCCAAGAGTGGCACCTAAAAATTAGCTTGAGAATAAAAGGATTTGTGTAGGAGAATAAAAGGATTTGCAGTCCTCAGTCATTTGACCCCATTGTTGTTGGCACATGGTAAAGCAGAATATGATGGTGACAGGGCATGAGGGAGCAAAGTTATCCATCTCCTGGCAGGTAGGAGGCAGAGAGAGAGAGACAGAGGAAGTAACTCAGGAGAGGGTACTCCCCCAGTGACCCATTGCCTCCAACTAAGCCCCACTTCCTATTTTCTCCCACCTTTCCATTAGGCCATCAAAGGACGAATCTCCATCAATGGATCAATTCTTTCAGAGTCCTCGCTTAAAGTGTGGCTCAAATTTCCAATAGATCATCTTGTGATCATTGCATCGAGGACCAAGCCTTGAACACATGAGTTTTAGGGGAGGCATTTTCTAACTAAACCATAACAGTGGTGGGGGCTAAGGAGGAAGAGGAATCTCCTACTATTAAGGGTCCAAGACCAGCCAGCCCAGCTGGGCATCTCATGCCCAGGGTTCACATGGTAGGGATGTCTACATTTGACTCTGCATCAAAGATATGAGGGCTTCTAGGGTACTTTGATTCTGCAAGTCAGGGATGAAGCCCCATCTTGCTGGGAGAGAAGGCAGTTTCTGTTGCATTGAGTAGCAAAAGGATTCTTCCCCAAGACAAGTCTTCCTCTGCCTCTTATGGCATGCCATTACTTCTATTGCTGGTCATACAGATGAGGTGGTTTTTATATGACTTCCTTCTTTGAAACTGAATTTACACTACACTATTACGTGCTATTTCTCTTACATGAGACATCTAACCTAGTGGATAATCCTGTGATTCTTCCAAGTATGATTCTAAGTGCTATGGGTATCAGTGGTGCACAAAAGAGACACAGCTCCTGTCCTTGAGGAGTCTAATATTTTAGTAATGGGGACCGAGAAAGTAATTAAGAGAATCTAATTTCAGACAGTAATGAGTTCTATGAGGAGACTGGTGAACGATAACACGATGGAGAGACAGGAAGTGCTTTACCTAGGATGCTTATGTAAGTGCTGTCCCCTTTGAACAAGTCAGTCATGCCACTGTCTGGGGGATAGAGCTCTCCAGGCAGAGGAAGCAGCTAGTGTAAGGGCTCTAAGGTTGAAAGGAGCTTGGTGCACTGGGGGATTTTCAAGAAGGTGCAGTGGGGCTGCAGCAGAGGATAAAGTGAGTGAGCGGGTAGCAGGGTTGAAGGTAAGTAGGGCACAGAAGTGGAACCAGACCAGGTTAGGCTCCTGTCAAGGCTCTGGAGTTTTATTCTAAGCATGGTGACAAGCCACTGAGGGGTAAGGAGGAATTTCTGGCAAGAGGCTGATGCCACTAATGAGGAAGCTTAGAGTGCTAAGCAGAATGTAATGTAGACCACAAATTTTATTTTTTATAATGCATGTTAAAATAATAATTTTCTGATTTTAATGGGTTTAGTAAGATATCTTATGAAACTAACTTTGTCTATGTGGTGGAGGGTTGGTGTTACTTTTAAAAATATTGCAACTAGAAAAATTAAAAATCTATGTGCTCACATTAATATTTGTATTTAATAAATGATTTAAACAATAGTGCCAAGGACATCGCACTGTGTGCTACAACATTCCAAAATCAGATTGAGAAGGAAGATCCAGCAAGAAAGTCAGATAAGCAACAGCCAATAAAACACGAGGAAATTTAGGGGGAGTGTAGTGTTTCAAAAAGCCAATGATAAAATTATTCAAAAATGAGCCAATTGCTTCCAGAAGATTGGGTTAACTGCCTATTGGATAGAAGAACAGTTTTTGCAGAGCTTAGAAGCAGTTGCCTTTGGAAGCTTCGTGTTCAGAAGCTTAGTTTGGAGAGAGCTCAAGAGTTAGAAAGTGAGGTGCGCCCACAAAGAAAGTGAGTATTATTCATTTCTTTGGGTTTTACATTAAGGGAATTTAGAGAGACAGGGGAGTAATGGGATGAAAGTTTGTAACTGAGAAGAGATTTGCATGTTTTGTTGGCTTATTTAAGGAGACACATGCCTGACATGTTCCAATTGAATAATGAACAGTGAGGTTGTTCTTTCAGCCTTTTTATCACTTGGGGAAATAAAGCAAGTATATCGGAAAGAATTTCAGACCTTCTGAACTCCAGATTTAAATCGAATGGTTCTATTAGTACTCTCTGGTTCTAGCAGTGCAAAGATGAGTTCTTTTGTTCTACCATTTGCCTTTCATATTTTTCTCTTTGATTTTGTTTTCCTCTTCTTTTTCCACCACTAGAAATAATGGCTCAAAGGCAATGTCAGCCTGCTGTGGCCTGGTGTTGTGGCCTGGTGTTTTTCCATGACCATCTATCTGTAATGCTGAGAGGTTTGCTTCCCCACTGCTTACAAGGCTTCTGAGTGATGGAAGCAGGGATGCTACTGTGTTTATTAAGATGACTGGAAATATTCCATTGATTTTTTTCATTGATCACCCATCAAAACCACATTCCCCTATCTCCAAGCAAGACATTCCCTATGTATTTGGCTTTTTCTGGACATGACATACTAATGGAATTACTATCTTAAAAATATCATGATGGTCCCTTTGAACAAATAGTATATACTTTTAAAAAGAAAGGATAGGAATGTAAAACAGATCCTGTCTGGGGTGTGGGTAACAGTGGATAGTGGTGGTGGTGGGGCTAATGGGTGAATGGAGAAGAAGAAGGACGATGACTATGATTGAAATACTGTATGTATATGCGTGGAAATGGAACAATGAAGGTGGTTGAGATTGGTTGGGGCAGGGGAAGTGGGGTGAAGGGAAGTGATGGAGAGTCTGGTCAAGGCACATTGCATGAATATATAGACATGTCAAAATGAAATCCTCTTCAACAACTAATTGATGTTAATTTTTAAAATGTAGGAAAAAAATTGGAGGGGGGATGATTTGTCCTAATGGTAATTACATTTGTATATTTTATCTGGAATCATTTAAGAATCTGAAGGATGAAGAATAAGGGTGAAAAGATTGTGTTGCCTTATGGACATAAAATGATAAAAAGCTAGGAGTATGGTTCAATTGGAAGACACCTGTCTAGCAAGTGTGAGGCTTTGAGTTCAGTGGTGATGATTATTTTTCTGATTTGCTTTGTATATTGTTTTAGTGATTCTACCATGGCCGAGTCAATAAGTGAAGTATCCAGTAGTCAAGAAATTCTAGACATGGGTGATGAAGGTAAGAAATCCAATAAAACTTTGAAACTAGATGTATACTGTGTTTGGCCCCTAGGAAAAAAAAGAACCAATTCTCCAGAAAACAAGTTCCTATCAACTTAATTGTAATAACTGTAGATTCATACGCACTGTTAATCTTTCTAAGCTCTTCTCTGTTATCTCCAACCTCTAATAGTCTACACATTTTTTCTGAGGCTCTGTAATCTCTGCAGGTGACTACTGAATTTTACTCACTGAGGCAGAGGTATTTCTGCTCAATCAGAAAAAAAACCATCACAAGGGACAATAATCTCACAGATTCAACCAAAATTTATAACCAATGGAGGAATTTATCATTTGAATAGGAAAGAAGGGATGCAGAAATAAAATGATGCTCCCATTGGCTTCTATTCAGTGGGTTCAATTTACCAAACTGTTTGTGAAATTTACTCAGATGAATACTCATGCCTAATTGTGGCATTTATCCAGGAGTGATGGGTGACTGTGAATGGGATAATAGAAAAGGAAATATAAATCACAAATAATATCTGATTTAAGTTTTCTTCATTATTATTCATGTGTATTAATTATACACAATAATGGGCTTCATGAAGACATTTTCATACATGCACAAGATGTCTTTTGACCATATTCACCTCCTCAATACCCTCTCTTAAAACACACACAATACAAAAGGAAATGTATATAAGACATAAGATGAGCTATCTACTTAAAGGCAGAACAGTAAAATTGGGTTCTTCTTTTCTTTTGTGTATATGAGTATTTTTTAGTTGTGTGTAGTGCATAAGAGCTTGCCTAGAAAGCTAAAGGAACCTCCCTCCTCACGACTTCTTGGGTGCCTGACATCACTGAATATGCGGGTATGAGATGCTGAGATTGCTAGTGGACCCCTGAAGGCAAGGCTTGGGTCCTCATCTCTGCATTACCATTGCTTAGTATTGTGCTCAGAGACACCCACTTAAATGTTTAAGAAATGAATGACTGAAGAAGTTAAAGGTGAGACTTCCTTGTCAAGGCAGGTGCAACTGCCAAACGAAATGACCTATCTTTTCCAATACGAGTTAGACACATGCCCACAAAAGAAGGTGAAAGTCCAGTGCATGGTGGTGAGTGGTGGTGAGGAAATGCCCTTTTTCTGTTCTCAGGGGTTGTTTGTGCTTGGGATGTTTTTAGACTTATGCAGTGTGGTTGAGAGGCTAAAGGGAAAGAAAGATTAAAAGAATGTTTTATATCCAAGCAGCAACGTGTACAAACAAGGTCATCATTGTGTTGTGCTTTTTTTTTTAAGTTGGGGTATCTGTAATGTAATCCGGACTAGCCTCAAATTCACGATTCTTCGGTTTCTACTTCCCAGGGCCTGGATTATGGGTGTGTACTACTACACTCAATTGGGGTTTTATTATTGCTTTCTGCCAGTCTTGGAGCTTGAACTCTGGGTGTGGGCACTGTCCATAGGTTCCTTTTGCTCAAGGCTAGCAATCTACCACTTGAACTGCAGCGCCACTTCTGGCTGGCTTTTTCTGTGATTAATTGGAGATGAGTCTCAAGGACTTTCCTGTCCAGGTTAGTTTCGAACTTTGATCCTCAGATCTCAGTAGCTAGGATTATAGGTATGAGCCACCAGCGCCTGGCTACACTCAGTTTTATTTTACACATTTGAAAATCTAAGTTCAACCCAGAGGAGATGATCTTCCTGTGTGCATGATGGATACATGAAGATATAAGCCAGAAGCCACAATTTCTTCATAGGCTTTAGCCACGGTTTTTTTTTCTGGAGTGGGAGTTGGGGGACAAGGAACAATGCCTTCAATTGGCTGTTTTGCGACATGTGACACACCTGACAGGCCCTCATTGGATGGTGATATTGAAAGCTACTTTGCTGTTTGGAAATGTGTAGTTCTTGGGCTTACACAGGGAAATGAATGTCTTTGCTCTAGAAGTCTAAATAGCTGACAGCTCCTGGCTCTGTTCTCTGGCTACAGTTGTGATCTCTTATGGTGACATGGGCAATCTATATAAACATTGCTAGGTATAAACATGGTTTTTTTTTTAACCCTTCCTTAATTGTTAATGCCTATGTATCCTTTGTGCTTTTAATCGCTTTTAATGTCAGCCTGTGCAGGGCTTTGCTGCCAATAAAAAACAACTCCAGAACAAAAGGAAGCCTACAAAGCAAATTTATGGCAAACATCATGGTTTCTATTAGGATTAGAAAAACAACATAGCATGAGGATGGTGTATCACTCCCAGGCCTGAGATCCAGTCTATCTCCATACACAGGGACGTGTTACAATTGAGGGTAGGGAAATGTCCTAATCAAAAACAGGTTGAAGAGTTTGGGGATGTCACTCAGTGGCTGACTAGTTCTGCAGTACGTGTAATGCCCCTGGGTTCCATTTCCAGCACAGCAATAAAAGAGTTAGCTGAAGACGGGCTCTTGCAGCTAACATTGGAAGTCTGGCAATGGGTTGCTCTCTAAGGTTGCATGTAGCTTAAAAAGCTGTTTTTCTGATTAATGCACATCCAACCCACCACATTTGTCAGTTACCTTCCCTTAGTGTCCTCCTCATTACCTGCTCACAGAGTTGTATGGCTACCATATTCAGAGCCTTCTCACAGGGTAGAATGGAAACATTCTTTTCCTCCAGTGCCCACCCCCCCCCATTGAAAGAAACGTGAATTGCTGCTTAAGAAATTTTGAATCCTTATAAGAAACTAAGTTGATGTTTCTGACCAGTAAGTGATAAGAATTTGAAAGATAATTGGAATCTAGGCATACGTAAATTGTAGCACCTGTTCCAGTTCTAAAATAGCTAGCCATTTTGTTCATTTCGCACCATAAATTATGTGAGTATAGAATTTTTGTCTGCTCATGCAATGATTATGTTTGGTAAGTTTGCCTTCATAGCTTGAAGAATTTATTGGAAATGTTTGTCTTGGACTAGTCAGTGTTATAAATGTAGTTACCACTTGCTGATTCTCCTGTCCTTGTCTTGGCTAGTGCTAAGAAGCAGGCTTGCAGCCCCAACGTCTCTCCCTCCCCTTGCCTTCTTCCCTTCCATTCTGAGATTTCTTAAAATGTATTTTTATTGTTATCATAAAGGTAATAATGCACAAAGGAAATTATAGTTACATGACAGGTAATAAGTACATTTTTTTTCTTTTTGGATAATGTCACCCCTTCCCTCACTCTCTCCCAGTGTTTCCTCCTGTCCCCATCAACAAGTTGTATAGTTCATTTTCAACATATTTTCTAGTGAGTACCTGCATTTGTTCACCCTATTTTGGAATTTTGAAGCAAGAATAAATGAAAGTCACTATGTTTCTAAAGATGGTGGATGTTTGTAACATTCTTTATGCTACGTTCTGAGCATATAGCTGTTCCCCCTTCAGAGAGATAACAGGACACTCACCCTTCAAGAATCCATAAATCTCATTCAAAAACAGCAGTACAGCCAGGTCTCTGGTGGCCCAGGCCTGTAACCCTAACTACTCATAGGAGGCTGAGATCTGAGCTTGAGCAGGAAAGTCCATGAGACTCTTATCTGCAACTAACCACCAGAAAACTGGAAGTGGTACTGTGGTTCAAAGTGGTAGAGCACTAGCTTTGGGTGAAAAATCTCAGGAACAGTGCCCAGGCCTGAGCTCAAACATTACAACCAACCAACAAAAAAACAACAACAACCCACAAACAGGCAGTACCTCCAAAGGCTAAAATATGCCACTTTTTCTCCTATTTGTGAAAAGATCTCTCTCACTGGGCAGGAATGGTTGAATGGTATATTGGAGCTGACTCTAACTGACCTGGGAGACTGACTATACATCGCTTCCCCCAAATCATATTGTAGCTTCAAATTGTCCATAGTGGGAGTATTTATACTACATGAATCGGCAAATAATACAAATCATGCATTATCTCAAGTTTAGTTGTTAAACATTTTCTAGCACCAAACAAATTTTGATTACTCAGAATTTAATACAAAAACCTCACAACTTCACGGGTTGTAAAAATTATTTGGAAGTGGAGAGATTAAGAGAGAGGGTCAAAAAGCAAAATAGGATTCTTTTTTAGGGGGGAGGAGTCCGGTTGTGGAGCCTGAACTCTGGGCCTGGGCGCTGTCCCTCAGCTCTTCAGCTCAGGCTAGCACTCTACTACTTGAGCCACAGCACCACTTCCGGCTTTTTTTCATTTTGCTTATGTGGTGCTGAGGAATCGAACCCAGGGCCTCAGGCATGCAAGGCAAGCGCTCTACCACTGAGCCATCTTCCCAGCTCAAAATAGGGCTTCTTTTAGAGTCATTCTTCTCTGCTGTAAACTTCCAAGAACCTTCATATGGAATCCTGACAGTCACTCTGTGGAAACTGAACATTATTTAAAATACTTTAGTTTATTATTAAACAAATTAGTGTGATCTTTTTCTGAAAAAAAAGAAGTGAACATGGGAAAGATGAATTTACAACCAAGATCCTTTATACAGGAACATCCTAGTAGATAAGTAATTGCCTAAGTAATCCAAAACACAAATTACTTAAGCAGCAACTGGCAATCCAACAGCCTTGTGATCTTTCATTGTCCCACTCCTAGATGGCTGCTGCTTCTAATCATGTAGACTTCAGAGTTCATTCTAGATATGGCACTGTTTCTAATTAACATAAATAGAATTATATCTGTATCTAATTCTTTTCTTATTGATACCCAGAACTTAGGAAGTACTTGTCCTTAAATATTTGGAGTGGTTGAGGGAGTGAATGAACAAATGAAAGAATGAAGGAATGAAATAAAGAACATTAAGATGGAAAATGTGGTCCTATTAAACAAATTTTTGGTGTCTGGAGAAAAGACAGACAAGGTTAGATTAATGGGAAACTAGTTAATAACAGGTTTTGAAATTTAGAGACCTTCTTTACTAGGTAAGCATAGGACAAATCAGCACACAAAGAGATCATGACATTCAGAGCTAAGTAGAACTGTATGTAGCATTTCCCAATGTGTGTTGCCAAATACTTTTCTCATGTGCATTGAGAAGATACTCTTGTTACCCAATTTGTGGAGTTCTACCATACATATAAGCATCCAAAAGCCTCCCAAACATCTTGTTGGAAAGCAGACTATTGTCTAATTCACATCTCCTACATTGATCCCCTTTTCATGTAAGAGAATGTAGGAGTATCCCTCAGAAAACACTTGGAGAGATAATGATCGAGTGCAGTCTCTTCATTTTCCCACAAAGTGGTAGAGAAGTTGAGTGCTTCTCCCATAGTAAGGTCACGGAGCTAAGCCATGTCACATTCAATTCCAAGATTCCAGAGTGTTCAGACACTGAACCAGCACACACCTGCCATAATAGCTGCCATATTGGCTGGGTCTTTCACTGCCAGTACAGCCTTTGCCATACCAACGTGGTCTTCCAGAGAGTAGACTATTGTAATGCCACTTCTGTGTTGGTCATTCATTGCATGTGAAAACAATAAGAACTAACAACTGAAAAGGAGAAGATATATAGATATAGATATATTCCTTTTCTACTGAGTTCTAATGAAGGCATATAGTGTGTTTAGTTGGAAACTAAAGAAAGCCAAAGCAATCTTTAAGAGCATTTAACGATCTGTAAGGCACCTGAGACCACGGTTCTCATTCGTGTCATGAAGGTCCTCTTTCCCCTACCCCTGAGCCCCATGTACCTCCCCTTCCTCCATAACCCTCTGTCTCACTTTCACTTCTTAACTTTCAGGAAAGAAAAAATCCAAATTTCGAGTCTTCAAGAATTTTTTTGGTAAGAAGAAGAAAAAAAGTTCTGATGACACTCAAGGAGGGAAAGCGCTAAAGCCAAGCTTATCCAGTAGCAACATTATGACTTCACTGAAGCCAATTCAGGAAAGTCAACAAATTGAACTTAGGTAAGCTCATATGGAGTGCAGAGGGTGGGCCCAGGGCAAGGACACGTAACTAGATTTAGGCCCACCCTTGGCAACCAAGTGACCAATGAGCCTTTGGTATCAGGAACTTCCATCCTTTCTACCTCAATGCATATGGCTCGAAGCCATTACCAAAACAGTTATGTTCAGAGATCTTCTTCATGTACTAGGTATGTGTTTATTTTCTTGGCTGTGTGGCTCAGTGGGATGGAACACAGCAAATACACACCTCCTTCCTCAAAAGCACCAGGGTAGAGGGTGGGAATGGATCAAGGAAGCCATACTGTTACAGAAAAACTGGAGACATGGCATCTACTGCTAATGAAAAGCTAGCAGGTCTGTTTCACGCAGTGGGGATGACTTACATCATTCTGAAGGTTGGGCGTTGTTTGCCAACCAGGCCCTGGATTACAGATATACCAGATCTCATAATGAGTGAATAAAGTCTCAGACATTAAAGCTATCTATCTGGCTTTGGGATTGGTGGATGTATAAACATATGCCACATTGTTAGGAGAAATTTAATCACAAATTGATGATATACATATTCTCCAGTCATTATAACTGACTTTGGAGAAGCTTTCTGACGTTAAAAGCTTTTTTATTCTTGTTATAACCATATGCTCTGCCCTATGGAAAATAGGTGATTATAGTTCATAAATAAATGTTTTTTAAAACATCAAGAAAAAATAAACTCATTATATTGCTGTAAAAGTACACAAAGAAGCAAAACATTCCAGTCCCTCTCCTTCCATGCCACATGGGGACAAATGCTAGAAGTGGTCACAGAGAGGGTGTTTTGCAGCCACCACTGCCACCCTTATTCATATTTTTGTGAGGCCCCAATTTCAATCTCCCATTGTTTTTCTTTCACTAGACCCCTGGTACTCCCAACTGTCCCTTGATGAATTGGGCCTTTCTCTGTCTCTGTCTTTGTCTGTCTGTCTGTCTGTATCTCTCTCTCTCTCTCTCTCTCCACCCCTCTCATTCTACTTGGCCTGTTCTGCTGGCCTTAAACTGTAGATTTCTCTGGACACTCCACAAAGCTCAATAGTACTGCTAGCGAACCTGTCAAGGTTTTTCTTGGTAGTAAAGGGTCAGCTTGTTACCACGTTATGGCCCCTTCAACATTTGTCTCCAATGCTTCCTGTGACATAATAGCCTGACAGCACACATGGCTCCTAAAGAAGAACTTTAATGATTGCTTCCAATGTGATGACTTTCAGATAGCCTCACTAGTGGGGGAAATGTTTTTTTGGCAGAGGGGCTTATAATGTACTTCAAAAATAATGCCATTATTGTTGGGCTTCAGTGGCTTACACCTGTAACCCTAGCTACTCACGAGGCTGAGATCTGAGGATCACAGTGCAAAGCCAGACTCATCTCTATTTAACTACCAAAAAACTAGAAGTGGAGCTATGGCTCAAAGTGGTAGAATGCTAGCTTTGAGCAAAAAGGGCTCAGGGACAGATCTCAGGTCCTGAGTTCAAGCCCCAGGACTGGCAAATAATAATAATAATGCCATTATAGACCAACCTTATAGATCTAAGTAAGACTAAGATTAGTCCTACTAAACATCAGAGGGTGGGGAAGGAGGCACATTCTTGTTTGGTCTGCATTGTCTCTGCAGATTAGTAAGGACTATCTCTACTCAAGTTTTATGTTTCCCTTCTTACTTGTGTGTTCTATTCCAAAATGGTCCATGTACTCTGCTATATTCTCAAAGCCTGCCTGGGCTGGCTTTGAACCATGATCCTCAGACCTCAGCCTCCTGAGTAGCTAGGAATACAGACATAAAGCACGGATGCTCAGTTGTGTTTCTGTTTTGATTTGTCAGGTATCAAGGATCTGCCCAGATATAGATGACTTTCATTCACTATTTTCCCCTTTTCACACAAAGATTCTATGGTGTATCTTCCCTATTTACAAAGTCATCTTATGTACCACCCATCACTCTACTCCTTCAGTTTGCTATACCTACTTACATATATCTTCTGCTTAGGAATAGAATTAGGTTTATCACTATTGTGTGATGAGTCAAATTAGAGGAAACAGAACCAAAGGAAAGGCTAAAAGCACAAAAAACTCCATTTGAAACACAGGAATCATACATATATAATTATATATACATATATACATAATTATAATTATGTATAAATAATTATATAAATACATAGAAAGAGTATACAAGTCCTGGGGCTTGAACTCAGGGGTCCCGGGAACTGTTTCTGAGCTCATTTGCTCAAGGCTAGTGTTCTATCACTTGAGCTACAGCTTCATTTCTGTTTTTTTGGTGGTTAATAGGAAATAAGAGTCTCATATACTTTCCTACCCAGGATGGCTTCAATCCATAATACTCAGATCTCAGCCTGCTGAGTAGCTAGGATTACAGTTGTGAGTCACAAACACCTGGCTAATAACATATTTTTAGTTCAAAAAATTTGAATCAGGGAATGTGGTTTAGTGACAGAGTGCTCACCTAGCATGCATGAAGCCCTGGGTTCGAGTTCTCGGTACCACATAAACAAATAAAGCCCGAAGTCTCAAGTGATAGAGTGCTAGCCTTGAGCAAAAGAAGCTCAGAGACAGTGCCTAAGCCCTGAGTTCAAGTTCTAGGACTGGCAGAAGAATTGAACCAAAGACATCATCAGAAGAGAAAACTTCAAATGAAATTCAATTTTAAAATTCCCCAAATTACTAAATACAAGAGTTCAAATAAAATGCAGGTAAACAAACAAGTGAAATAAAGATATTGAAAAGAACATTAACAAAGAGAAATCTAGAAAACAAATCAAATTCAAATTTAGGATATTAAAAAATAAAATGGACAGCCTCTTCAGCATAACGGGCAACACAGAAGACAGAATTTCAAGACCTGAAGATAGATTAGATGTATTAGAAAAACTTTAGACATAGTAGAAAAACTAGAAGAAAATACAAAGAAATATGAAAAAAATGAGGTCTTCATTAAATGACCTAATTTGAGCATCATGGAGGGTTCAGAAGGGGAAGAGATGTTAACTAATAGCATGGGAAACATATTTGATAAAGGAATAGCAAAAAGCCTCTCAAATCCTGAAAAAGAGAAGCCAATTTGGGTAAAGGGCATTTAGAACACCTAACAGACCTGATGAGAATATAACTTCTCTACCAAGGAAAAACACTGAAGGCTGTAAGGGGGAAATATCTAATCTACAAAGATCAGTCTGTCAGAATAACATCAGATTTCTCAACAGAAATCTTACAAACAAGGAGGGCTTGGAATGAGGTTTTCCAAGGATTAAAATTCAATAATTTCCAACTTTGAATATTCTACCCAGTGGAGCTATCATTTATAAAAGAAGTACAAATAAAAACATTCTATGACCAACAAAATCTACGTTTATCACCACTATTCCAGGACTAGAGCAGATACTCTGACATCCAGCACACAGGAAGACCAACATAAACCTGAAAGAAGTGACATAAACAAATCCCACCACATGTATAGACAAGCATAGACAGAGCAGGAAAGGAAGCAACACTAAAATAAAAAATGGTAGGAACAGCTACACACCTATCAATTTAATACTCAGTATTAATGAACTCAGTTCTCTGATCAAAAGACATAGATTGGTGAGTCCAATCAAAAGGCAAGATCCAACCATCTGTTGCCTACAAGAGAGATACTTATCTGAAATTAAAGATACTTATCTGAAAACAAATCTTCCAGACAATGGAATTCACAAGAAGGTAGAAGTAGCTATGCTTGTATTTGGCAAAGTAGATTTTCAATACAAGTTAGTAAGAAGAGACAAAGAGGCCACTTCATGTAATAAAGATAACTTTCCATCATGAAAACAATTCTTTACATATGTTCACCAAATGCATGAGCACTGGACTTTGTTAACCTAACACTCTTGGACTTAAAAAGTTTACATAGCAAGCCAGGCACTGGTGGCTCACGCCTATAATCCTAGCTACTCAGGAGGCTGAGATCTGAGGATTGAGGTTCAAAGCCAGCCCAGGCAGGAAAGTCAGTGAGACTCTTATCTCCAATAAACCACTAGAAAACCAGAAGTGGCTCTGTGGCTCAAGCGGTAGAGTGCTAGCCTTGAGCTGAAGAGCTCAGGGAGAGCGCCCAAGCCCAGAGTTCAAGCCCCACGACCAACCAAAACCAAAAGTAAAAAGTTTACATAGCTCCCAACAATATGGTAGTTGGAGACTCTAACACTCCACTCTCACCAATAGACAGGTCAAGCAGGTGAAGACTAAAAATAAAATCTCAGATGTGAAAGACAATAGACCAACTGGACCTAACAGGGGTAGACAGAGATAGATAGATAGATAGATAGATAGATAGATAGATAGATAGATAGATAGATAGATAGATAGATAGATAGATAGATAGATAGATAAATAGATAGATAGATAGATGCCAATATACATATTTGTACACAACAGCTGCACAATGCACATTTTCTCAGTAGCCCATATAATATTCTCTAAAACAAACCACATACTAAGTCTTAAAGCAAGTTTCAAATTCAAGGAAATTGAAATAAACTCCTGTATCCTGTCAGACATAATGGGAAACAAGTAGAAGTTAAAAAAGTAGAAGTTAACAGTAAAAGAAATGGCTTCAAATACTCACACTCATGGAAACTGAACAACACAGTTCTAAACCATGAGTGGTCATTGGCAAGATAAGAAGGGAACTCCAGCTGGGTAGGGCTGGCTCACGCCTATAATCCTAGCTACACAGGAGGCTGAGATATGAAGACCATGGTTCAAAGCCAGACTGGGCAGGAAAGTCTATGAGACTCTTAAATCCAATTAACCACCTAAATAACAGAAGTGGAGCTGAAGCTCAAAGTGCTTGAGCAAAAAAAAGCTCAGGAACAGTGTCCAGGCTCTGAGTTCAAACCCAACAACTGACAAAAACAATCTCAGCAAAAGCAGCACATTATAAAGCATGCATTAAGAAATCAAAATGAAGGAATTGCATTTGTTCCTTCCATCAGACACACCATAACAATGTGGGAAATAGATACTAGTTCTATTGTACAGACCAGGCGAAAATGTTCATCTCCCTCCCTAACTTCTTAGTGACCCCCTCCAGGGTTTCTGCTCTGGCACATTAAACATGAAACTGAGGTTGAGGGAGATCTTCTTTAGAACCCCTAAGTTGTATTTTTTAGGTATTCTCCCTGTGATTAAAATCTGTCTCTGTCTCTTTCTGTCTCTGTCTCTCTCTCTCTGTCTTTGTCTCTGTCTCTGTCTGTCTGTCTGTCTATGTGTCTCTCTCTCTTTCTCTCCCCACAGTTTATTTTCAATATACTCAAAAAAGCCAGAAGTGGTACTGTGGCTCAAGTGGTAGAGTGATAGCCTTGAGAAAAGGAATTTTGGGGACAGCACCCAGGCCCAGAGTTCAAGCTGGCAAACAAAACAAAACAAAAAAATAGAAATACAAAAGGAAAAAAGTATACATGAAAAGTCTTCAATAACCCTTCTATCCCACAGGATGCCACTATTAACTTATATACTTTAAATAGGTGAATCGAATGGTAAATAAACCATATCTTATACAAAGAACATGTTTATCATGTCAAAAATTAAAATTATACAAGAGTATATAAGTTTGTGGAGGGGAAGGGAAAAAACAAATTGTTTACATAGGGATACAGGTGGACCCATTGCAACAATGAGATGTACAAGACGTTATGTTGAAAAACGAACTTTACAACTTTGGCGCTGGGTGGGTGGTGGTGGTGGGGAGATGGGAAGGGATGGGAAGGGGAAACAAAGGAGGAGGCAACAATGCTTTATAAGGACTGTACTCATTACCTTGTTCATGTAATTGTAACCCCTCTGTATGGTATTTTCACAATAAAAAAATCTTAAAATAAAAAAGAGGATAGAAAGCATACAATTAAAATATCCTCCTGTCTATGGTGCCATTTCTCAGAGCAAACCACCACTAACAATTTGGTGGATATTCTTCTAGACTTCCTGTCTTTGACCATAAGCTATATCTGCATGTACTGCCTATGTATATAGTAAATGGGCCCATACTTTATTTTTTCACTTCACATTTAATGGACAGCTTTCTGTGTCAGTACATAGGCATTTTCATATTCCCCCTGAATTGCCTATGGTGAGCAGCATTTTGAATAGACATTCAATTTTTATATCCATTGGGATAATTTTTACAATAGCGTTCCTATTTGTCCAGGTCTAGGAGCAGCATGGGGAACAAAGCCTTATCCCACGATAGCATCTTCATGTTGGATCCGGAATCTGAAAGACCAACGAAGCAATGCTCCCCAGTGGAAGTCCAGAGAGGCAGACCTCTGGAGGTAATAGTGACCTGAGCATTAGTGCCTGATTGAACTACTACTCTTCTTCCATTTCCTCCTCCTATCCTGCTGCACCCGCTCAACCCCCCCCCCCCCCCGCCCCCAAATAGGGAACATTTTTGCTCTGCTTGTCATTTGGTTCTACTCCACAGGGCTGTCATACACATTAAACAACAAAAAATGTGCTTGCTTAGTTGTCAAACAGAGTTTTGGCTGGTATTACCTTGTTGACATCTCCTAACAAACCATAAGAATGCTCTCATTATTTTAGCACTGACAACCTCTATTTATGTCCTAGCAAACCAACCCCCAAGTGCTTCTCTTCCACAGAAATCTCTTGTTTCCAGAACTCTGCCTACAGATGGGATGGTTAATATCATGGTGTCTGATACTATATATATGAAGTTATATATTTACCCAGAGATGGAATCTGGGTTGGAGGCTCCAAGATTACTGAGGTAATAGAGCATAATGATTCAGAGCATGGGCAGCTAAGTTAGACAGATAGACCCGTGCTTGGATCCTCGCTCTGCACGACCCTAGGCTAGTTGCTTAATCTCTCTGAGCCTTCATTTCTTCATCTACAATAGGTATATCAGTAATATCTACCCTCCCCAAGGAGTTGTTTTGTGAGAATTGAATGAAGACTTGGAAAGGTTAAAGAATTGTCCAAGCTCACCTAAGTAACATAAGTTCTAGACTTGGAAATTTGACTCAGGTATGTTAGCCTCAAAATCTTTCCACTACTCCAGTTTCTAAGAGGTTCAGTTCTTTTGTATCTACCTGGACAATGGACAGCTACATTCCCAGTAAAATGCAGCATGTCCATAGGATAATGCCTTACCTCCAGTGAATCCTAAACTTACAATGAGCATGCATAATGCATTTGTCAGTCTACTCTTCTGGAACTCAGATTCAGATATTAACAGAAGCTGCCTCTTCCTGCTCTGAACTTTTGATGAGATTCTGTTCAAAGGCTATTGAAGAACTAGGAAGGCCAGACAGGAGGAGACCCTTCCCTACCGGAGAGCTAATTATTTTGCCCTTGCCAAAAAGTGATGCTTATTTCTGACATATCTGCTTAAGACTCCTATATGGTGTGCTCTGGTTTCTGCACAGGGGACAGAAGTTGTATTCAGTCCATTAGCCATAAAGGAGAGAGAAGGAAACACTGAACTAGTCACCAAATGTGTTGATCCTTGGCTGGAGAGCAGGATCTATAGTCAGCAGATTGTTGCTCTCTTGTGCTACAGAAGGAAAAGTAACATCTGGGAAGTTTTCAGTCTTCAGGTTTGAATGTTAACACTAGCTCTCACTTGCCTCCATAGCTATGACCTTGTGGCTTCAAACCAAGTGCCACAAGGTAATTTCTCACATTTGCAGGGAAGGAAGTTGTTTCTGGAAACAGGGAAAGATCCTTCTCTATCTTAATCTCAACAGTTGAGAAACTCATATATATATACACATATATACATATATATGTGTATATATACATATATATATATACGCACACATATATGAGATATTCCATATCTTAAAAATAATAAAAAAGGTTAAACTGGGTGCTGGTGGCTCATGACTGTATTCCTAGCTACTCAGGAGGCTGAGACCTGAGGATCATGGTTCAAAGCCAGCCTGGGCAGGAAAGTCTGTGAGACTCTTTATCTCCAGTACTACTCAGAGAAAGCTGGAAGTGGTGTTGTGGCTCAAGTGGTAGAGCGCTACCCTTGCTTGAGCACAAAGAGCTTAAGGATAACACTCAGGCCCCATTAATGACAAAGAAAGGTTAAGTTTTGTGAAAATTGAAGCTAGTGTACTAGGAATATTGCTTCTCACAATGAAAAGAATGAGGGGAAATTACAATAGTCCAAAGATAAGTTTTCTTAAATGCTGTTTGGGTGCCTACCTAATACCTTCAGTCTGGTCCTATAGGCCTTCCCTTGGGGAACAAGGCTGAAGACAGCACAGGGTGTTAATAAATTCTGACCCATCAAACCCAGATTGACTTCATGTGGAAAACATCCTTTGAATGCCAGGTGATGACCCCAAATGCAGAATAGTTGATAGTATTAAATGAAGAATAGTTGATAGTATTATGTCAAGGGTCCTAGATGTGGTATTAGTACATGTCTGTAATGCCAGAAGTCAAGATGCAGAGGCAGGAAGATCATGAGTGCACTTGGGTTACACAGCAAGACGCTGCCAGAAAACAGAAATAAAACAGGTTCCTGATACCCAGTGCTGCATAGAACCTGGAGCAAGTGTGGAATTGGTCCATGACTGGCTCCCTTGAGGCAGGATTTTATTTTATTTTTTTGGGGGGGGGGTCTGGTCGTGGGGCCTGAACTCTGGGCCTGGGCACTGTCCCTCAGCTCTTCAGCTCAAGGCTAGTGCTTTACCACTTGAGCCACAGCACCACTTCCGGCTTTTTTCTTTTTGCTTATGTGGTGCTGAGGAATCGAACCCAGGGCCTCAGGCATGCAAGGCAAGCGCTCTACCACTGAGCCACCTTCCCAGCCCCATGAGGCAAGATTTTAATTCCCTATAAGTGTCAAAACAACTGAAAGATTGTGAGATGAAATTTAGATATACTGCTATGTCTGAAATATTGAGACTGGGTCAATTTTACTTTCTGCTAGACAATCACCTGATGTCCTGTATGAAATGTTAGGAATATATGCCTAAATTAATCTCTAAGACATTTCATATTCTTTTTAAGCACAAATGATTAAGATTTAACAATGTATTATTAGCATCTTCCTGCTGTTGAATCAAATTGAATTCAGTCATTTAAGAAACCAAGACTTGGCTGGGCGCAGGCGGCTCACGCCTGTCATCCTAGTTACTCAGGAGGCTGAGTGAGATCTGAGGATTGCAGTTCAAAGTCAGCCTGGGCAGGAAAGTCCATGAGACTCTTATCTCCAATAAACCACCAGAAAACTGGAGGTAGCACTGTGGCTCAAGTGGTAGAGTGCTCGCCTTGAGCTGAAGAGCTGAGGGACAGAGCCCAGGCCCAGAGTTCAAGCCCCATGACGGACAAAAAAAAAAAAGAAAGAAAAAGAAACCAAGGCATGCCGGGTGCTAGTGGCTCATGCCTGTAATCCTAGCTACTCAGGGGGCTGACATATTAGGATCATGATTCAAAGCCAAGCAAGGCAGGAAAGTCTATGAGACTGTGATCTCCAATTAACTACCAAAAAGCTGGAAGTGGAACAGTAGCTCAAGTGGGAGAGTGCTAGCCTTGAGCACAATAGCTCAAGGACAGGACTCAGGCCCTGAGTTCAAGTCCCAGGACTGGACCAAAGAAAGAAAGGAAGGAAGAAACGAAGACTGGAAAGCCATTTCTCTTATTGATTTCAGGCCCAACACTGGCCCTGTGACATTTCTTTTTCCTTTTTTTTTGTTGGTCATGGGTCTTGAACTTGGGGCCTGGGTGCTGTCCCTGAGTTCTACCACTTGAACCACTGCTTCTGGTTTTCTGATGCCTGGCTCCAGTGACCTTTATTAAAGTGTCAGGCACACCATATGTTCTGGTTATTGCCTTTAAAGTTCTCCAACTTGGTCTTCAGTCTGCGATCTCTCTTTCCTGGTCTTTACAGTTAGGAGACAAGAGTACATGGTGGTTAAGAACACAGGCTATAAAGCTGGGCAGCTCCTTGAAATGCTTATTCTACCACTGGAAGGATTAAAACCAGTTGCATTGGCTCTCAAATTTAGTTTTCAAAAAACCCCTCAAACATGTGAGGTGTAAATGAGATATTTATGGAGTGTTTTTTCCTATCTGGCACATTGTATGCTCCATGTAAAAGTGACTTCTCATTACTTGTAGTCATTATTGGGGATGGATTTGGGGATAATTGACTAGGGCTAGAGTTGGGAATGGTTGAACTGGCCTCCTCTCCAGTCCCCAATGGAGTCTGGTAGCAAGAAGGAAGAACTAGAGATCCTAGTCAGTAATACCCCAGGAGCAAAACCCTGTCACACCAGCCTCCATTTGCAGCTCTTTTTCTTTGGCTGCAGTATGTGAAGTCTATGTGTCTTGAGCCAAGCAGAGCCTACAACAGAACCATGTCAGTTGCATAAAAGAAAAGTTCTTGTTTTGTTCATTGTGGACCTCATTCCTGGAAACAGGTGTAACACATTGTAGATGCTTATGAAGTGAAGATGAGGAATTCTGATCCCCATCAAGAGGAACTTTGCAGAGATCAATGCCTATTCCTTCCCTCCCTCCCACCCCCTCCCTTCCTCCCTTCCTCCCCCTCCCTTTCTTCCTTCCTCCCCCCCTCCCTTCCTTCCTTCCTTCCTTCCTTCCTTCCTTCCTTCCTTCCTTCCTTCCTTCCTTCCTTCCTTCCTTCCTTCCTTCCATCTTTTCTTGGGGCTGAGGATGGAATCCAGGGCCTTGTACATACTAGGTAAGTGAGCACTCTACCACTGACCACTTTTCAACCTGTATCTTTTCTTTAAAAAAAAAAAGTAAACTTTGTTAAGATTAAGACAAGCAAAAGGAGCAAGAGTTGTAGTTCAGATGTCAATCCTAGAGCATAACTCAGAGATTACTCACCTCTGTAAGAACCAAGCCTTTGAAAACATGGCCCAAAGTAAAACAAAAGCTGGAAACAAGCTATATTTGGAGTTAGCATCAGTAAGGAGATAATCAGAATTCTCGTGTGATCAGACCAATACATCATTTAGAGATCGGCAAATGTGTGCAGCAGTGCAGAGAGTAAAGCAAGGCCATTTGTCTTTAGTTTAAGTAAGTACTAGAGGTAAATGCAAGGTGGTAGGAGATTCCTTCCTGGGTGCATATATTCTTTTTAGGTTCTTAATCCTTTACCAATTAAGGAACACGTGCACACCAGTAGCGTGGCAGAAAGCACACAGTTTTAATATTTTCCTTCTATTCTCCCCTTGACAGGTCTCACCACAGCACCCACGTAACACCACTTTCAGCCCAGCTCGTATCCAATCTGGCACGACTAGGAAATTGGAAGAAACCCTCATCGATAATGACGTGTCTAAGAACCTACAAAAGAAGCAGTTTTCAAACAAGATTTCACTAAAGAAGGTATTAACCCTTTCCTCTAGTAAAGGTTGGAGGATGGTTGCCTGTTGGCCATTATTACTCTTCATGCTCTCATCTTTTTACAGAGGTCTTGCTGTGTAGCCCAGGCTGTTTTAATTTTTTTTTTTTGTAACTCTGGGCCTGGGTGCTGTCCCTCAGCTCTTCAGCTCAAGGCTAGCGCTCTACCACTTGAGCCACAGTGCCACTTCTGGCTTTTATTCTTTTTGCGTATGTGGTGCTAAGGAATCGAACCCAGGGCCTCATGCATGCAAGGCAAGCACTCTACCACTGAGCCACCTTCCCAGCCCGCCCAGGCTGTTTTAAAACTCAGGATCTTCCTAGCTCAGTACTTGGGATTACAGACACGCACTGCCACACCAGGCTTTATGTTCCTTTTTTACAAAGCCATTTATGAATATACTATATATTGATTAATGTCACCCCTTTCAACATTCTCACCCATCCCTCCTCTACCCACCCCTTCCTTCACTGAGAGTTGCCTTTGATCAATAACTTTTGAAATTTTTTGATGAAATCTAATTTGACTTTTTGATATTTTTGCTTCCATTACGTAGCCATCACTATTACATTTTCTTCTAGTTTTATTTCTCATCCATTTCAGGTAATTTTTGTACATTGTGAATAATAAGGGTGCAATTTCATTCTTTTGCATGTGGTAGTTGCAGTTGTCTTAGTACAATTGTTTAAAAAGACTTTTAATACTTAATTTATCTTCTTGATACTTTTGTTGAACATAATTGAACAGGTTTATTTGTGAGCATAGTTCAATTTCATTAATATATATGTCTATCCTAATACAGTACCGTAGTATTTTGATTACTGCAATTATGTAGTGTTTTAACATTGAAAGTGTGAGAATTTTGATCTTGTTCAGGATTGTTTTGGTTTATCAGGGTCTTTGCAATTTCATATGAATGTTTTGACCAGTTTCTCCATAGCTTCAGAAAAAAGTCTAGTGGGATTTTCATAAGGATGATATTTAATTTGTATAAAACTTTGGGAAGTATCACCATTTTAGTATTGTTTCATAATGCATGAACATAGAATTTTTTTCACTTATCAGAGCCTTTTTAAATTTCTTTCAGCAAAATTTTGTAGTTATATAGAGTCCAAGCCTTGTACCTTCTTGGTTAAATTTATTCTTTGATATTTTGTTGTTTGCTTAATATTTTTGTTTTTGCTTAATTTTCTTTTTTTGGATCCTTCATTTGTTGATCATGTATCTTAACTGTAATGAATTCATTAACCAGCTACAATGTCTATAGGGGTTCTTTAGAATTTTCTCTATATAGAAGTGTATCTTTTGTGAATAGAGTTGTATTTGCTTATCCTCAGTTTGGCTGCCTGCCTGCCTGCCTACCTGCCTTCCTTCCTTTCCTTTCTTTCTCTTTCCTTTCGTTATCTTTCCTTTTTTTTATTTTTTTAGTACTGGTCCTGTGACTTGAACTCAGGGCATTGGGTGATGTCCCTGAGCTTTTGTGCTCAAGGCTACTGCTCTAGCACTTGAACCATTTCTCCCTTTTTGGGGGTGGTTAATTGGAGATCAGAGTCTCATGTACTTTCTTGACTAGTCTGGCTTTGAATCACGATCCTCAAATCTCAGCCTCCTGAATAGCTAGGATTATAGGCATGAACCACCAGGACCCAGATTAGGATGCATTTCTTTTTCTTGGTTACTTTTATCTCTTGTTTTTCTGTTCACCATCTCATTTATTTTTGCTCTAATTGATATTGTTTTCTTTATTCTAGAAACTTTAGTTTTAGGCTTTTTTGCCCTAGTTCCTTAAGGTTGAGAATTTGGCTAGTTACTGGGTTGAAATCTTTTTCTTTTTTTTCTTAACATAGACATATACTGATATATCCCATATGTTTTGTTATATTTTCTTTTAGTTTTTATTAATGTTAAAATATTTTCTAACTTTGGTTAATTTTGATTACTTCTTTAACTCATTAGTTTCCTAAGAATATACTGTTAATATCCACCTATTTGTTACTTTTCTAGTTTTCCTTCTGTTATTGATTTCTAGTTTCATTCTAGTTTTGTCAGAGGAGGTACTTGGCATGCTCCTACATTTTTTTAAACATTATCACTTATGAGCTGGATACCAGTGAATCATGCTTGTAATCTTAGCTACTCTGGAGGCTGAGATCTGAGGATCACCATTCAAAGCCAAAGGAGCAGAAAAGTACATGGGACTCATCGTCAATTAACCACCAAAAAGCTAGAAATGGAGCTGTGGTAGAGTGCTAGCCTTGAGCAATAGAAACTCAATGACAGTGCCCACGCCTTGAGTTCAAGCCCTACAACAGGCACAAAAAAATTGCATGGCCCATAACTCAGAGGAGACCATTTTGAAGTTCCTACTAAGGAATCCAACTTGGTATGTCAGAACCAAATAGTTTGGAGACTAGAAACTCTACCGTTTTGGAATTATAAACTCTCAGTTCTAATCCTTTGGAATTAGAAACTCTCAGTTCTTCAAGGACCTGCCATCATCCTTGCCCCTATAAGAGGTACCTATAAATAGAGTTAGTATCCTCTCTATGAAAACCTAACTTGCAAACCAGTCATCTTCCAACCTGATTTTTTTCCCTCCACCCCACCCAATGATGTAGAAATCCTAGAAACTTATTGGGTTTTGGACACAGATTGTGTGTCTTACTGCAATCAAATGTCTTCCTGTCACTAAGAGAGGGATATGGGACAAGAAAACATGTAAACTCTTTGACCTTGCACAACCTGAATTGCTTCCTGTTTCTGAATTTCACCTACAAGAGGAGCAGCCAAATGGTTTGCCTCTAATGTGTCCACAGAGCAGTAGAGGAAAAGGAGGTAGTCGTTCATTGATTTCTTCCTTAGGAATTTGTGTGTGTGTGTGTGTGTGTGTGTGTGTGTG